GCACCGCGGGTCCTCGCCCCCTCGCTTGCGCAACAAAGCGTGGCCCGCAGGGCGCATGCGCGCGGCGAGCCTCCGGGAGGGGTGGGCGGAGCCGAGCTGGCCGAGCCTGCGCAGACGAGCCCCAGCCCTAGGTGTGCAGGCGTGTTCCTGGTTTGAAGTTGATTTGTGCGTTTGCTGCTGCGGTTAACCGCACCTCACACACTCCGTGGCGTCGTCAAGATCAGTCTTTCTGCAAAATGTCGTTCAGTCTTTCTGCAAAAAGTTCCTGGAGTCCCAGGTGCTGACTCCCTGCCGTCGGTGGATTCCGACCCATAGCGACCCTCCCGGAGAGAGCAGAATTGTGCCTTCGGGTTTCGGGTGTAAATCTTTCTGGGAACACACAGCCTTCCCTCTCTTCCTCCGCAAGAGGGGCTGGTGGGTTTGAACTGATGGCCTGGTGGAACCTGGCGCTTATTCCTATGCGCCACCAAGGCCCCTTGCCCCGTGCTAGAGCTGTTTGGGCTCATCCTTGGTCTGGTTCACTACTACGTGCAGGGCTCCCTCTGGGCTGGGCTGGGCTGGGCTGGGACTGGCTTCTTAGGGAAGGAGGGCCTAGAGTGAGGGTGGAGGTGGTTTATTTTAGGTCACCGCCCCCCCCGTGGAAGTTCTAAGGATAAATGGACCCCGTTGAGTTCTCTTTCCTGAACGTCTCTCCCTCTTGGAAATAGGGCATCCTTAATAAGTTCTAGTGTAGTGGTTACTTGTTGGGCTGCAGTCTGCATGGTCAGCAGTTTCTAAACCACCAGCTGCTCTGTGGGAGAAAAGACTGGGTTTTCTACTCCCACAAACAGTTACAGTCTCAGAAACCCGCAGGGGGTCGCTATGAGTCAGCATGACTTGCTGGCAGTGAGTTTGTTTTTTCGGTTTGGCCCAGACGGTCAGGACTTCATTGGTCCGAGTAACATTTGTACAGGTGTCAGGGTGGAGTATTATTGTCTTTGCTAAGTACTCTGCACCACGGACTTTCACTCCCTGACTCCCTAATATTTTAAAAAAATAAAATATTGGTGATGCTGAAATACTTCCGATTTGTTAGCGGCTGTTCATGATCCCGATGACCTTATGTACAAAAAGAATAAAAAGCTGCCCGGACCTTCGCCCCCTTCGTGGTTGTTGGTATGTTTCAAGTCCATTGCTGTAGCTCCCGTATAGATAGATCCATCTCAGTCAGGATGTCCCTGCTTCTCTGGGACCCTCTACAAACCATGGTGTCTATTTCTAGCAATCGGTTCTCCCTGACTTGTGTCCAGATGAGACATGCATCTCAGGCGCATTCTGGTTACACAAACGCCCATTAGCTTTTGCTCCCTTTTCACCATCAATGTTTTGAAGTCCCCTGGTATTTTTCCTGATTGGATTTTTCTTCTGGTGGTTCACAATATAGCCACGTACCTACCACTTAACTTGAAATTCTAAATCAGATTTCTTCTGGACCCTTAAAAAAATAGAATATAGGTTCTCAGATGCCTTCACTTAACCTCCTCTCCATTCCAGTCTGCCTCCCTTCCCTTCCAGCCCTGAGAGTGATGTACACCGTTATTTCCATGCATGGATTCAGACTCTCATTACCCATAAACAATATTCTCTCTTAAACACTTTAATCATGTAACTAAATGGGATCATGCCACACCTATCACCCAGCACCTTTTTCCTTTCAAAACAAGGCTTCTGAGATGTAGCTGGGTGAGCAAATTTCTAGTTCACTTTCACTGCCGATTGTGTCACGAACCATGTGTTACCCATTCCCCTACTGAGGTTGTTAGATTGTTTCTATTTTACTGCTCTCACAGAGCAGCCATGAACAAAGACTCACCAAGCAGACCCCCAAAAGTAGGGTCCCTGGAAGCTTTTTGACGCTATTAGACATTAACAAATTGCTCTTGGAAATGGTTATACTAATTTCCAGGCCCATCAACAGTCTATGTAGTTTGGGGAACCCAGTTGGCTGGAGTCTGGCTCACACTGAAGAACTGTGAACAGCAAGAGACTGGCCGAAGGAGCAGGGGGGTGAGCAGTGGCCGCACAGGTATCAGTCTGGACACCCAAGATTTGTCAGAGGAAAAAGACGTGCATGCGTTTCCCATGATGCACTTGTGGGCCACCCTGAAAGAGGCAACAGCGGGTCATCTGACCTCCTGTCCCAGTGGGCTGGGTGGAAGGGCAGACAGACCTCACTACAGAGAAGCTGAAGGTAGCGCTGAATTCCTAGAGGGTGAGAAAGGAGGGAAAGTTAGAAGAGAACCACATTTGCCCTGCCAAGGAACCACAGGTGAGTGATGCCCCAAGGATGGAGGGCCACAGAACTAGCTTAAGTCTACCAGGGTCACAGCAAAGGCCGGCCCTCGGCCATCACAGCAAAGACATCCAGGCTGGAACTTCCCTGCTTCTTTTTAACCCCACTACCACCAACACCCCCACCCCCCCAGAGGGGGCAGGAGGCTTGGAAGGAAACCTGGAGTGGGGTGGGCTAAAGAAGAGACACCCACTGTGTCCCTTTCTCCCAAGCCAGGGCAGAAGCACCTAGGAAACATACCTATAAATTAAGTTTGGGGTGTTGTCTCTCTATTAATTATTGAAATGACCCTGGGCAAGTAGGCTTTTTAAAACCTGAGGATGAACAGAAAAATTAGACTGCCTGAGTTTTCATCTAGGGACAGGAGAAGGAAGCCCACAGCATGAAACGTAAATGGTGGGCAAGAGAAATAGAGTTGCTTTCTAACTAGAGCCCCTCAGTCAGACTTGTTCAAGGTAGTTAAGAAACTGGGTGGCTTGATCCGGCTTTCTACAAAGCTGTCAATCAAAAGGGGAAAATGCACTCAATTTACAATGTCTGCCTACGTCATATAGGTTTTTTTCTAGTTCAATAACTTTTAACAATGATCTTATTAAAGAAATGATTGAATTTATTACAAAATAGTAGGGCCTGTCATTATCTTCTATCTTTTGGTTATTAACAAAGGATAACTGAAGGATTTACTGTAGCGGCTCCCATGCCTTTTGTTCACATTCCTCCTCAATTCTTTTCAAATCGTACTCAGTGGGATCGTCATCCTTTAGAAGAGGAGTCTGAAGTCAGCATTCAGTAGAACTCTGCACTTGGCAAAGCCTCCATTTCTTGGGCTCTCTGATTTTAGGTTTCTCAAAAGATGATGAGGTCATTCAAGGTTCCGTCAGCCCCAGGCTCGTCTTTTCTTTCTTGCTCCAGTTTCCAGTTGGCTGCTTTTTCTCCACAAGGACGTCCTGAGTGTTTCTCCTCTCTCGCCTCATCTTTCACTCCCTTACGCTTCATTTCTGAGAGACTGCCACGCCACTCTCCGAGAGGAGGTGGTGACATGATCAAAGCAAAGGTGGCTGGACGGAGAAAGGAGTCATACAGTTTGAAGGGTCAATTTTTCTACTAAAAAATGCAGGATGTTTCCAAAGCCAAGTACAGTGGATTTGGAGAACCCAGCTCTTCTGTGCAGGTATCCACATGGCAGGACTAGTTCCCATCATTAACGGGAACGCTGACTCACTGCTACCAAGTCTTAAATAAAACTGAAAGAAAAAAGCCCACTACCAATCAGTCAATGCCCACTCCTGGCCACCCTAGAGGACAGGGCAGAACTGCCCCTGGGGTTTCCGAGACCGTCATTCTCTATGGGAGTGGAAAGTCCGGTCTCTCTCCCGCAGAGTGGCTGGGAGTGTTTAACTGCTGACCGACCATGCGGTTAGCAGCTCGGCTCGTCACCACTACGCCACCAGGGCTCCTCTGGAATGACTCAGTCTATGCATTGCACCCAAACAGCTTTCACCAATAGCGTTCAAGAATGTACGACGGGCAAGTAGCACCAAATTGGGAAGAAAAACAAAATCCTTATACAGTCGTTCCTCCTTCACAGTACAATAGAACCGTCAAGCTGATTCTGACGCACGGCCACTCCATGATGATCAGACTATAACTGTGCTGCTAATAGCAACCGAATAACGCGGTTCCTCAAGCATACCTCCTTTCAGATCCTATGAAAAGTTTCGGGCTGAGTGGGAGATAAAGTAGAATGAACATCAAAGGCACTAGCAAAAAAGGGCCAGACTTACTGGTCGGAGAGAGAAAAGTGGAACCCCAAGACTATCACCTGTGGTCACCCTTCAAGTCTGAGATGAACTCATCACCATGATTTGATGCTCAGCCAATAATAAGTGTGTCAGGGGAATCGTAAGTAACCTCTGGGAAGTTAAATTAGGAATGGGAACGTCAGGCCTGCTCAATCAAACCAGCCAACTTTACCAAACTCAAGAGGCACTCACTGCCAGAGGGTCTGACTGGCAGCAACCTCACAGGGGAGGTGGAACGGCCCGTGGCTTTCTGAAAGTGTGACTCTCCGCAGTAGCAGAAGCCCTAGCTTTCTCCCACGGGGCGGCTGGTGGCTTCAAACTGCTGCCCTTACTGTTAGCGGACCAACGTGGAAAGAACTACACGACCATCAGGGGTCTTGCCTTCTCACCAAAGAGAAGCATTAGGGGTGAGTTAATTCTTGTGACTAGGGTGGCCCACCAACGATGTTATAATCGTCCAAACAGCTCCCCGGCAGAAAAAAAGGTTCCTCACCCTTTTCATCAACTATTTATAGAACCAACTCTTTGAGACTTAAAAGGGCAGCTTCTACCCAAGAACAAAGTTCAGAAGGGTCCCAACCCAAACTCCTATCAAGTTGATCCCCACTCCCAGGGACCCTCTAGGACAAAGTGGAGCTGTCCCTGTGGGTCTCTGGGACGGTAACCCTGACTCTCTATGGGAGTGGAGGGCCATGTCTCTCTCCCTCTGAGCATCGCGTGCTTCGAAGGGCTGAGCTTGCAGCTAACAGCCCAACCGGTAACCCACTGGACCAGGAGGAACTAAGACTCAGAAGTGAAAAATCAATTAGAAAAAAAGCATATACCCCTTTTAACAGAAACCATGTTTTATTAAAATCACTTTTTTCCATGTTGCAGACAAACAACTTTTGAATGAAGTCCAAGTACGCCTTCAGAAGGATTCTAGAGTTGAAAGGCACAGAGCAAAGACAAATTTACTACAAATCACCGAGATGGAAAAACAATCGTAAACGTTATTTTAAGCACACAAAGAGTCTCTTTTAAATCAAACTAAACTCAAAGCATTGCACCATTATCAGAAGACTGAGTTTGATACTTAATTTCCCCCCCATTGGTCTTCGAGCTGGATTAAGATAGAACATTGTGGAATGTTCAGGATTCCTGTTTGGTAACCAGACATACGTAATTACATTTAGCATTGGATTTGTTCAGAGGCATTGGGCCTGTGTCAGCCCGGTGAGAGCAAGTGATCTTAACAGCAGATGTGATGGGAAACGTCTCCCAGGCCAAACGTAGCTAACCGTCAACTGATGCTGTAGATGCAGCCTAAACAAAGGACCTGTGTGGATAGGTTCAGCCTCTTTGTATAAAATAGCATATTAGATGAGTATTCTTACTAACAGCTCATCACTTCAAATCAAGAAATTACTAACGCATAAGAAACTGGATTAGAGAAGAATGGTGACTTTTAGAATACCCTTCCAGACGTCCGCTTTAATAGGTTTCCACCAAAGAGAACACCTGAAACAATTTCATACGTCCCAAACATATCCCAGTCCCTGAAATGCAACCACGGGGGAAATGTATTAAAAGCATCACTCTGAAGATTTTCTACGTCTAATTTTACATTTCCTTTCAAGTTTTATAAGCTTCGAAACGCAAGTACAGCTTTAAAGTATCAAAGTGAGTAATTATAGATGAATAATAATACAGGCCCTCTACACCCTAGGAGGCAACCGTGGGCGTTTTAATTGGAAATAAGAAGTCTGAGATCATGCTAATAGCAGTGTAGAAAAATGAAGTTCAAGACAAATCAAGAGGGTCGGGAGCCTCCCATCCTTTGTGGATTTTACTTCAATCGTCGTCGCCGCCACAGAGAATGAGCAGGACCTTTTTGTAGTCTCCAGATGTGTCACCCTGGGGACGAGGGAAGCAAAGGTACAGTCAGGTCACTGGGCCTTAACGGTAGTTCATAGTCACCTACATGCAGCTTTCCAAGTGTTTCTGGATTCTTTCGAGATGGGTTTCTAATTTTTCTTTTTCATCTTTAATAATGTGGGTTATCTGTTATTCCAGAAGCAATACTGGTTCAACCTAGAAGATAAAGACTTAAAAGAATGCAAAAATCCATCCATCATTCCACCGTCTTGTGCTGCTACACGTGGGGTCAGCGGTTTGAATCCGCCAGCTGCTTCTCGGGAGGAAGATGAGGCTTTCTACTTCCGTAAAGAGTTGCCGTCTCAGAAACTCACAGGGGCAGTTCTGCCCTGTCCTCTAAGCTTGCGATGGATGAGTCAGCATCACCTCAGTGGCAGTGAGTTAGGGAGAGATTACTCTGGAGCTCACAGTGGTTAAACACTGACCACAATGTTGGTGGTTCAAACCAACCTCCTGCTCCAAAGGAGAAAGATGTAGCAGTCTGCTAAGATTTACAGCCTTGGAAACCTCGTGGGACAGTGGTACTCTGTCCTTTCCGGTCACGATGAGTCAGAGTCAACTACAGTGGTGGGTTTTTGTGGTTGTTGCGTTTTAAAGAGATGAATATTCTTAACATTTTGGTCTGAGATGCTCAGTTACCAGTCCCCTTCCCTCCTAGTGATGAGACCTAGGTGTATTCTGTACTGTGCTCGTGGGTCCTACGATGACATTTACCCAAAGCATCTGGTCTTTATTCCCACAAACCCAAACCAAACTCACTGCCATGCAGTCAATGCCAACCCGTGCCTGGCAGCACTACAGGGCAGGTAGGACTGCTCTGTGGGGTTTCCGAGACGGTACCTGTTCACAGGAGTAGAAAGCCCCAGTTTTCCTCCAAACGGCTGGCAGTTTTGAAATGTTGACCTTGAAGTTAGCAACCAACCACGTAGCCTACTATGCCATCAGGGCTCCTAAGACGTTAGTAAGAGGATCTCAAATGCAGGGCTTTAGCGCCCTGAAGATACTTCACCTCATGTGCACCAATGTCTTCCACAAACCAGGTGATGCTGCCTCTCACCTAAGCGTCGGCGTCTAGGATTTGTATGGGTTATAGAAAACAGGCATGCTGGGTTGAATTCTTGTCCCTTGGTTTAACTCAGTTACCAGTCCCCTTCCCTCCTAGTGACAGACTGACTGTACTAGTGCCAGTGGGTAGGCTTTTCTGGAATGGGTACCTCTCACCCACCAATACTCACTTCATTAACATAACCTCTAGCATGTGTGGGAGTCGCTCCATGAATCACAAAGATTCCAGTCGCTGTGGAAATGCCATGGTTTATGGGAACTGGTGAAGAGCCCTAGTGGCATTGTGCTTACACATTGGGCTGGTTACTGCATTGGTCACCAGTTCGAGACCACCGCCTGCTCTCAGGGAGCAAGATGAGGCTCTTTCAAAAGCCAAACGTAATACAATAGAGTTGATGCTGACTCATAGCAACCCTACAGGGCAGGGTAGAACTGCCCCCTTGTGAGTTTCTGAAGCTAAGCATTTATGGGACTAGAAAGCTCTGTCTTTCTCTCTTGGCTGGTGGTCTTGAACTGCCAACCTTGCAGGTCACTGTTCAATGTTTATCCAAGTGGCTGGGGTCAAAAGTGGTGCCTTGGCAGCGGGTGTCCAAGAGGACATCTGAAGTTGGTGTTAGAAAGACACACAGGCAGTGGGCTGCTTTTGTCACCTAACAGCACAGTTTCAATGTGTTTCTATTTCCCTACATACAAGCCCTGGTGGTGTGGTGGTTAGGAGTTGGGCAGCAATCCGCAAGGTTGGCAGTTCAAAACCACCAACCACTCCAGGGGAGAAAAGTGGGGTTTTCTACTGCTGGGAGGGAGCTGTTATAGTCTTGGAAACTCTACCCCTGTCTGGCTGGGTCACTATGAGTCAACATCGACTGGGTGGCAGTGAATTGGTTTGGTTTTGCTTTTTACTAAGTATTCTTTTATATCCTTCTTTATGGTCACTGACAGCATGCCGTTGTACTGTCCATAGATGAAATAATTTATGTACTCAACCCTCACCATTGTTGGATATATATGTGGTTTCCAGTTTTTCACTGTGCTACAATAAACATATTTATGTTTAGCTTTTGTCTCAATGATTTGTTTAGAAAAATTTTCATACAATGGTATTATTCGATTAATGATCCTTTTTTTCCTTAAGTTTTCTAAAACGGTTTGCCAACTAGCCTTCCGGAAAAGCTCTCGTTTCTACATAGAACATTTTACTGCGCTATCGATCAGTTTTGTAAGTGCTTCATTGGCACTAGAAAAGCTGAAATCCCTGTGACCAGGGATCAAAGTTTAATATACTATCTAAATCTAATATCTATCTAAATCAGTCTTAAACATCTCTCTTGAGCAGCGTGAAGAAGAGGCAAGAACAACCCCCAGATCGACCAAAGCCTGCGCTACCGCGTCCCCCGTGTCCGGTGCCTGCGACCTGCCGCCGTCGCCACCATGCACAAAAGAGAGGCTCAAGGGGCTGCTAAGGGGGATAAAGCCAAGGTGAAGGGCGAGCCTCAGAGGAGATCAGCAAGGTTATCTGCTAAACACACTCCTCCAAAACGTGAGCCTACGCTGAAAAAGGCCCCTGCCGAGAAGGTTCCTAAAGGGAGCCAGGGGACTGCTGATGCTGGCGAGGCTGGAACAGCCCTGCAGAAAGCGGAGACGCCGACAGACCAGGCACAGAGAGCTGAAGGTGCTGGAGACGCCAAGTGAAGCGTGTGCATTTTTGATAACTGTGTACTTCTGGTGACTGTCCACTTTAAAAGACTATTTTTTATCAAGTTTTATAAAAATGCAGAATTTTGTTTTACTTTTTTTTTTAAGCTATGTTGTTAGGACACAGAACGTTTTGTGTGTGTTGTCTTTTGGGAGGATGGGCAGATGTCACTAATGGCTCTCTCCAAAGCTGGATGGAGTGAGAGACAACACCTTGCCCTGCTAGTTGTGAGAGACTTCCTCAGGGTTCCCAGGAGAAGGGATTCCCTGACATTGACACACGTTCGCTGCCTTGGCACAAACACCCTGTGAGAGGGAAAAAGTACAGTTTTGGTTTTACATCCTCCATACCTTCTTCTCCCTCTCTGCATTTGGCATAGGCTTGACTCCCATGAACCCAGAGACCTACTGAGACCTGACCTCAAAACATTGGCTGTCAGTATATTGGGTGCCTGGAATTTCCAGGGATGCCGTCCTCGTGGCATCCCTCAAAAGAGCAGCGCTCCCTTTGTTCCGACTGTGGTGATTCTGCCGTGTTCATGTCATTTTCTGAAAGTCAGGGTCGGCTCGTGAAAAGTTGTTAAAACATGCTAAATGTGAAATATCCACCCTCCGCTAAACTTTCCCCGTTCAGAGCATCAGTGGAAGACTTCAGTGGGTTTTACAATGACTTTCTAATTTGGGTCGTCCATTGAAGAAGGGGCTTTGAAAGTTGTATGCTGTTAACGATTGTCCGCCCATGTCCTGCCTGAATACCATGATTGTTTATGAAAAGTATCTTTAATAAAGCTGGATACAATTTGGCTTGGGAAAAACAAAAACAAAAAACATCTCTCTTCTTAGACTTTGCCTCCTTGATCTACCAAAGGAGAAGAAGAATGTTTGAAAATGTCTTATAAACATAGTTCTTCCACCACTCTCTTTTTCTGGATCTTCCAAGTTTGTATTTTTATGATTTTAACACAATACCGTTTGGCACCTAAAGTTTCATACAGCTCTTTATTTTGAATTGTTAACTGGATTCCTATAAAGTGATCTAATTTCTCCTATTCACTGTTCTCCCCCACCCCCTTAGAGTGTAATACAAAAACCCTCACTCACTGAAGGAGCCCTGGTCATGAGTGGGCCATGCACTGGGCCGCTGAGCAGTTTGGACCCTCAAGCTGTTCCGCTAGAGACAGCCAAGGCTGTCTCAGAAAGACTCACCGTCTCTAGAAGCTTGTGGGATACTTCTCCTCTGTCCTAGAGGAGCGCTATGAGGCAAAATCAACTGAGGGCAGTGGCTTTAATAGTGCAGCCCCTGCTTTGTTGTTGTTAATTGTTGTTGGCCTGGCCTTAAAAAACAACAAAATATGTTATCGTGCTTCAGAGAACTTTTACCCAGCAAATTGGTCTCCCATTTGATGATTCCTGAACAAATGGGAGGTTAGGGCACTCCCCGTTTGCACCCTGGGTTTTCATGTCCACGCATCCGGTGTTCCTCCCCCCCGCGGCTTCCTCGGCTTTGTTTTGGGGCAACCGCTGTCCTTTTGCTTTCTCCCAGCGGGTGATTCGATGATTCGGAAGGAGCACATTCCTCCTGGACCATGCATTTCACGGGCACATCAACCGTGCGGTGGAGCGTGGCCCCAGGCGTAGCTTCCGCTCCCTGTTAGCAGGGTCACTTAGAGCAGTAGCTCAGCAGGCCCTCCCATCTCTATCAGACCAGTAAGTCTAGTCTGTTTGTACGTCTTAGTGAACTGGAATTTTGTTCTACGTGTTTCTCCCATTCGGGCTGGGACCTCCTACTCTGTCCCTGCTCGCGGGGGCTGGTAATTCACGGTGGTCTCGGGCTAGGGGCGGCGACGGCTATGGCGTACACGGGCCATTGGTCCTTCGGACTCACTGCTTCCTTGAGTCTGGTTTTCCTCATTCTCCTTTGCTCCCGGTGGGAAGCGACCAAAAGTTGTATCTCAGTTGGCCGCTTGTGAGTGGTGTCACTCACCAAACTCGGATGAGGTTAGGACCTTGCCTGCATGGACGGTGTCATGCCAGCCGATCCAGCTGTCGCTCACGACTACGGTCCTTACCCTCCAAGCCAGGTAGCGCCATCCCTCCAGGTGGTTCTGTCTGAGAAGTTTCTAGACCCGTGCTCCCCATGTGTTCTATCATAACCTCTCACACCACCCAGGCTCCTTTTACAGAAACAAAAATAATGTAAGTACCGCAAGGAATGTCTTAATGAACATACCATAGGATTTCGTGTGGTTTTATTTTAGTACATTCGCTGACATCATCCCTAGGCATGTAAGTGGCCACGTGTGATGGATGGCAGTATGTTTCTGAGTGAAGAACCCAATCCAGGAGAACATCAATGCCGTCTCAGATTCCCAGCCAGCTGCCCTGGCCCTGACTAGGGTTCTGGAAGACTGCTTCGGGTGTTCACCTTTCACTGTCATCAGGTAGATAAGATAAATTGTGCTCTCCAAAGTACTCATTAAAATGGAATCTCTCTCTCGCTAGGGTCAAATGAACTAATGACTATATTTAGAAAGCAAACATTTCCAGCTTCTAATCTTGTAAAGATGGAAACATCTGTGTGAGACTAGGACTATCTAAAGTAGAATATTATCTTTAAAGGGAATGAGACAGCGAAGAAGAAGGGACAAGACATCTCTAAATGCCTAGTTGATAACCCCGTCCTTTCATCAGGGCCTCCCCCTGGGCCAAGGCAAGACTCCTGTGTCCTACCTTGATGAAGGAGTGCAGAGACTTCCCATAGATCCTCTTGAAGTTGGCCCGAATGTCCAGCATGTCAATCTCTGCTCGAGAAACCATCACTCTGATGAGGGTGTCATCATCGGTGCCCAAGCCCTACGGAAGAAAACAAGATGACTAGGGATCGAAGCCCATCTGGTGTTCAGATGGCTTCTTCATTCCAACAGAGTAAGGCTGCATAGGATGTTCCAGACAACATCCTGGGACTGCTCTGAGCCTCAAGGCCTGTGGAACATAGAACAAGGCTTCCCCCAACTTATCTTGCCAACACTCGGACATTCTGGCCTGCGGAGACTACCGTTATTGGAGGAAATCTGCCTGTGTTGTCCAGCCAGCCTGCCTTGCCCACAGTATCCCTACCCTCTGGAGGGTCACTCTTCCCTCCCCCACGGTTTTACCTCTCCCCTTCCCATCACGTCAAATTCTCCCACGTATCCGTGTCTTTATGGGCTGGCTCGAATATATTGGCCATTTAAAACATGCACAATTAACTGTGTTTTGGGTGAAATGTGACACAGCGGATGATTGGACAATTTCGACACAAACTGTTCAGTGAGAGCTACATTGTCACCAACGGCTACATGTTTCATGGGTCGACACTCACGGAATCTACATTTCAGTTGTTCTGTTTTTCAATATGCTGTGGCTGTTCGGTGCTGTCCAGTTGGGTCCGACTCATAGTGACCCAATGTACAGCAGGGCAAAACCCTGCCTGGGCTCGGCCATCCTCCCCATGGCTCTTAGGCAGGAGCCCATTGCTGCAGCTACCCTGTCAATCCGTCTTGTCGAGGGATTTCTTCTGAACGCTGCCAACTTCATACCATTATCATTTCTGTCTTCATTTTTTCTTGCATACTGCAGAGAACAAAAGACCCTCTCCGCTCTATTCCTATAATATTTGACCTCAACTCTGACCTTACTTTCTATTGGCTTACTGTCTCTGTTAGGCATTTTGATCTTTCCCATACTCCCCTGGTTGGTAGCACACAAGACAATGTGTGGGCAGGAGTATGGCCTCTGGAGCTAGACTGCCTGGGTTTGAGTCCCTGCTCCATCACTTCCTTTGTGAGAACCTGAGGCAAATTACATATCCTTTCTACGCTCGGCTTCCTCATCTGTGAAATGGGAGGTAAGCAGAGTCCCTGCTCCAGAGGGGTGTTGTGAGCATAAAATTATGCATATCAAGCATTAACAACAGTGACCCACTTACCATCAGTACTCAATAAATATTAACATTGTTACTGCAGGTAGTCAGGGAGTATTTGTTGAACTGATTACACAGGCCAGAGTAGAAGGGCAGACTGCAGGAAGCAAGCCATTGAAGAGGGATACAAGGCATGCCACCGCCATTCTCATTTAATCATCAAGTTGATTCCGACTCTTGGCAGCCTTCGAGGACAGGGCAGAACAACCCCTGTGGTTTTCTGAGACGGTAACTCTACGGGAGTAGAAAGTCTCATCTTTCTCTATAGGAGCAGCTGTTTTCGAACTTTGGGCCTTGAGGTGAGCAGCCCAGCTACAACCCACTATGCCACCAGGGCTCCTTGCCACAGCCATTGAGATGCCCAAAGCGAGGCCACTGACCTTCATAGATTTATAAAGCCTTTCAGCAAAATATGCAGGTTTGTTCCTCATGCACTTCACTGTCAAGAGAAAAGAGAGGGTGATTGCTACAACCCAGAAAAGCGGAGCTCAGTGGGTTTTCTCTGTTTGCACATAGGGTGTCTAGTCTATCTCTGAATCACTTTCCTGGCAAAATGGTAGCCAAACAACAAGGCCTAATGAACATAGGCTATGCTGAAAGTATTTTCCCAATGGAGCGTACACTCAATTTATCATGCAAACCCATGAAATAACCCATGCGGGCCATCAAGCAAACAGTAGTATGTCGCTTAAAACCATGATTGCTTTATCGTATGAGGCAGTTTCCAGTGCGAACCACTCACAGATTCGCAAGATCTAGAGTTATCTTTCCATCTACTGAAGCACAAAAGCACCCAGGCTCTAAACCAGCGGTTCTCAACCTGTGGGTCGTGACCCCTTTGGGGGGTCGAACGACCCTTTCACAAGGGTCACCCGACTCATCACAGTAGCAAAATGACAGTGATGAAATAGCAACGAAAATAATTTTATGGTTGGGGGGGGGTCACCATAACACGAGGAACTGTATGAAAGGGTCGCAGCATTAGGAAGGTTGAGAACCACTGCTTAAACTACATAAAGTCAAGTAGTACCTTAGCAATCAGGTTGTGTATGCTACTTCTTGTTTAAAATTAGGAAGTGCATCACGAGTGATTTAAATAATTTCTATTCTTTAAACCCACGAAACTACATCCCTGTGACGCCAGACTGAGAACAATGCAGAAAGTCTCTGGACACTTGCTTCTTCACCCCCAGCCCTGCCAGCTCACCGATCGCCAGCAAAGCATCTTCAAAGCTCCCGGATGTTTCCGATTTAATACTCTGTTCAATGTCCTTCTGGGATATCCTTTTGTATTCATCAAACACTGCAAACAGTAAGGAGATGGCATGACAAACAGAAAAGAACGGGGGAAACCATAGTTGGTGGAAGACAATGGGCACCTTTGAACTGGACTGAGGTTCGTGGGAAAAGTTCATTACTCTTTAATTTCATGGACTTTTGGAAGCTCCCTCGTGTTGATTTATTCCTTGGCATATTTGCAGAGAAACCTAGGTAGGAGTGTGGGCGATGGAGCGTTGATGGGGAACACTGACTGGTCTGTAACACATGGTGGACATCAAGCCCCTTCCCTTCTCTGTTGTCCACATGTAAATGGAGAGGTCCTCTGGAGAGATTTGCTTTCTTTTTCTTGTGATTTCTTTAATAAGCAGAACGTGTCCCTTTGTCATTCGGGCCTTGACAATTACCTGTGTGTTCACCCGCCTGTTGGTTCATCAAAGAGCAACCCAACGCCTTCAAAACGGAGTTCCGCGTGACAGCGGCTGGTTACATCTTTTAATAGGCGTGGGCACGAACAACACTTTCACTTCCTGGCCACGTGGGTTTGAATGTGGTGATCATGTTTGCCTCTCTTCCTGCCTCCTTCTGGAGCCTTCGTAGACTGGGCATCTTGTTCTGTTTGCTATTTCGGGAGTGCCCCCTGTCCCTCCATCGCTGATTCTCACAGGCCGGTCAGTCAAGGTCACCCCCACCCAGCATCCACCATCACTCGACCACAAAAGCACCTCCTTCATCCCGTCAGGGAGTTGCTCACTGAGCAGACCACGGAGCAGACCAAAAGCACTGGCGGGCTCCAAAGTGGGATTTTCTCCCATGTTTCTTTCCTTCGAATGATTTTTAAAATGGTGAATTAGGTGGGGGTTTCACATTTCAGATCATAAAGTTTGTGTTCAATAGTTTAAATTACTTATCAACCCTGCCACCCATTAGCTTACCCTACCCACTCCCCCCACCCTTTGGATGATGCTTCTGTTCTGTGGATGACTAGCTTCCCCTTCTTCCAGGTTAATACCTGTCAGCAGTGTAGTGCATGGTTTCATCTTCCCTCCCGGGCAGACCGCCCCCCAGCCCACCTTAGGAACCTCCACAGTCTATTTCCTTTGTATGAAAGTCTTTATCTTGTTGTGTGTGTGTGTGTGTGGGGGGGGGGGGGGGTTCATAACAGACATCTCATGCCATCTTTGCCCTTTTGTGATCGACTGACGTCACGCAGCATCATTCTCTCCAGGTGCATTCATGTCATGAGGTGCGTCCTGGTTTTATCAGTGTTGTTTTGTTTTTTTATGTATTTATTTCCCATCACTGTTTTTCAGCCATGAGTGGTATTCCACTATCATGTTCTGCCTTCATTCGGCTCTCTGTACTTCCTCTCGGCTACATTGCACTGGATCGAACCCCACCAGGCATCCTATGCCCTCCTCACCATCAACTTTAGATCTCTTGTTGCTCCATGGTCCCTGGGTTGGTTGACTCCCTCCTCCCTTTTCCCCACGTCCTCCTCTCCTCTGTCCCCCCACTATGGGGTTTTCTTTATCCAAATAGTAACGAAAAAAATTGCTTCCAGTGACTGGCGAGTAAATGTTATATAACTGCCCAGCTCAATGACTTGGGTTCAGAAATAAAAAATGTTACCAACGCACCTGCATGAACTTGGCACCTGGAGATGTGCAGGTCTAAGGAAACCCCCAGGGAGAGATTTGGAAGGCCAAGGATGACAATGGAATAAGGAGCTGAGAGCCACAAGTCGGTGCATCCGACGGTAGCAAAAATGAACAAGCCCACTGTCCTTGAGTCGGTGCCTGCAATGGAGAGTCCGCAGAACGGGAGAACTGCCCCGAGGGTTTCCGAGCCTGTGCATCTGATCAGAAGGCAAATGGCCACGTTTACCTCCCTTGGACAATCTTGTGGGTTCAAACCACTGACCTTTAGGTTAGCAGCCTACTGCTTAACCACTGTCCTCCTGGGGGCTCCGTTTGACGGCAGACCCTTCTATTTACTAACGGAGCAATCGCCGACGTCTGTCCTTACGGAATATCTGAAAGTTTCAACTTCATGTCTCCAGTTTAGCAACTTCAGCCTCTCCAAGTCCCCTGAGTTCTGTGAATTCTGTGTATGACTCTAAGGGCATGCTGTGCTGATAAAATTAGAATGGAGCACAAAGACCTTAATGGCTTAAATAAAAGATGAAATATCTCATTAAACCCTTATTGTTGTTTACAAGAAGGAAGTAAACTTGGCAACAGATATCCTACAATTGTACAGCATCTTTCCCCCAAAGAAGCTAAACGCTTATTACAAAGATTAGAGTTATCTGAAGCCAATTAGAAATATTACACATAGGAAATAAAATATGAAATTATCCACTCTTCATCTTACACAACCTATCCCCTAAGGAATCACTCCTATTAGCTTTATGGCTTGGATGTTAAACAGGAATAAATGTCAGCCAACATTTCTATTTTATTGCTTGCTGGTGTACTAAGTATTGTCTTACATAACTAAATTGAAATGAAAGTCTGAGGGTGGCTTAAAAAGAAAAAAGATTATGAAGTTCGGTTTTCTAGAAAGAGGAAACCCAAACTCTGTCAGTACGCTGTATATTTGCTAAGTATTCATAACCAGTCCTCGGAAATGGGCCCTCACACGCCCACTGCCCTCAGTTCAGTGAACCAGCTTTCTATACTAGGTGGAGGGGAAAGGGTTACCAGTCAATTAGGGGGCTCCCGTTTGCAGGCTCTTTGCAGGGAGGTGAGTGTCTTACCATGCAGCAGGTGGTTTCGGTTCCGGGAACAAAGAACCGTAAGAAACTTCACTTCATCTGTCCCCCACTTCTGCTCGCCAGCTTCATATAGGTCCTGGGGCCCAAAGAAAGCCCAACGTTAAGCCACGCAGAGGAGGTGCCAAGGCAGGGGCAGGTGTTCCCAGAGTGTTAGAGGGCTGACTGCAGCCCCGGCGGGGAGCTGCGGGTGGTGGGGTGGAAGTCCTGTGGACATGACTGGGGATGTTCCCTTAGGCACCGAAGGCATGGTCCCCGTGGTCCCACACCCAGCATCAGGGCAAACGGCCGTGATGTGCAGCCCGCCGGTCTCTCTGAGGGGCCAAAGAAAGACCTCAGGCGTGGGATGTCTCATGGCTATTTAAATTTCAATTGAATTCAGTCCCATGGCTATTTAAATTTTAACTGGATTCAGTTAACGTGGGGGAAGACTCAGCATTCCCTCGAAGAGGCACCTTTCTAAAACGCCATCACCAAACAGCTCCTTGGAAACAGTCATCTGGGTCATGGTGGGCGGAAATGGTGTCTTGGTGGGTAGATCTGGATTTCTTTCAAAATAACTAGCGAGGTTGAACATTTTTGACACGCCATTTCCATTGTTCTTTTCTTTTCAGAGTGAATGTCCATCCAAGGTCTGTCTTTTAAAAGCAGAGGTATTTGTACCCCAGGGGGATGAACATCAGAAACGTGGGTGAAAGGAGACAGCTGTCAGTGTAAATTATGAAAATTATAACAATTTATCATTTGTCAAGGGGTTACGAGGGCAGGGATGGGTAGGGTAAAAAAGAGGAGCTGATACCAAGGGCTGGAAATAGAAGTAAATGTTTAGAAAGTGGTGATGGCAATCTATGTACAAGTACGCTTGATACAACTGATGTATGGCTTGTTAAAAGAGCTGTAAGGGTCCCCAATAATATGATCTTAAAAAAACACACAGAAGTATTCTTCTTCTTTATCTAGAAAGCCTCTTTATATATTATCATAGATGAGAAAGCTTCAAAGAGTTCTTGGAGAAATTCCACTATCTTTTGACTCCGTTTTTCATGAACCCTTTGAAGCCCCTTCATATAAGATGAAACTTTCCCCACTTGATCCTTTGACCTTGAGTTTTCTTTATGGTACTTTTTAAACGATGTGTCCATTAAAAACAAATGTATATAAAGTCAGCAATCATTTTCATGGGTCCTTTTCCCAGAGCGATATTGAAAAAACCTTTCACGACACTTTATTCTCGCACATCGATGACTTCATTGAATTACACTTAAATTTTCCACCCGTTTGGAATGCGTTGTGGGGTGAGGTGGAAGGAGGGATCTCACTTCATTCTCTCCCAAATGGCGAGCCAACTGTCCCACCGCCAACATGTATTGTCTCCCCAGCCCCAGCCCACCCGGTGGTTTGAAATGCTACTTGCACGTTCTCACATAGACTCCACCTGCGTCTGCATTTTTCAGTCAGTCCACGGATTCCTTTCGAGCCTCACCTCAGGACCATCCGCTGCCACTGATTTCTCCTTTATTGTACATCGAAATACAGCTGAGGACAGGGGCTCAGAAGCCACCTTGTCAGGACTCTCATCTCCGTTTTCTTTCCTCCTATTCCTCCTCCTCCTCTTCCAACCCTGGGTCCAACTCTTCCGAGTTCTGGCAATTATTCCACCTTGCTTTCTAGGACGACGACTTCCATTCCTGCAGTCGGGTTTTGGAGCATCCCTGCTGCTGCCAGGAGGAGCCTTTGGCCCCCAGCTCAGCCAGCTCTCTTTCTTATTTCTCTTTGACTATCTTCATCTCTGCTCTTTCTCATCACATCTTTTAAAACATTTTAAATAACATCATTAAACCCAGTTTTTCTCTCGTCTTGTTTAGGGTCTACACCGCTTTGCGTCTGTTTGTGTTCCTTGCGGTGTAGCTATGTTTACTCCCTTCAAGCCCCCCGCCCCCTCCCCAAAGTATCTGAGTTGAGTACCTGCTGATTTTCATGCCCATCTGGATAGACCTATCCAGGCGTGGTGTGCCCTCCAGGACCAGGTGAGTGGATCCGCACTGGTCCTCCTCACTGATCATTTGGGGGAGCTTCAAGCAGGAGCCCTTGCTGCTGGCTCCCTCCCACAGGGCACCTGTCCTCTCCTGCAATCACCCACAGCGTTCACACGTCACCTCCTCTCCTGGAAGGGTTCGATCCTTTCCCACGTTTGCATATAGGTTAAGAAGACAGGGTCGAGAGCCAGGTGTGCTTAGCTTCTGCCATTGATTCTCTGTGCTCCTGGGGTAGCTTCTTCCGATTTACATGGAGCCGCCCTGCCTGCTTCCACCTAGGAATGGCAAGCCACTTTCCAGGGGCAAGAATGGCCCTCCTGCATCCCTGCCCCAGGTTTGCTGTCCTGGGCCACATGAATGGCTCTCCATCATAGTTTCCAGTGTGGAGGTAGATGTTTGCCCAATATTAAATTTCCTGTCCTCCACACCCGCTGGCCCACCAGAGGAAAACCAAACAGCTCCCTGGCCTCTCACAGCGACCCTGCAGGATGGTGTAGCACTGTGAAGGCCCCCGTGGGAGTCAGAGACTGTCCCTCTTTGTGAGAGTAGAAAGCCTCATCTTCCTCCCATGGAGTGGCTGGTAGAGATCGTTCCTTCCTCTGCAGAGCATCCTTTTACTGGTGATTCACACGGCAGGCGACCGAGACTCTTCCTAGCATTCTCCTTGGTGATTGTCCGGAGGCAGCTAAAACTCACATAAGCTTCTGAGAGTTCTGGGATTTTTAATACCATCTGCTTTAAGCGGTCCGGATCGAAGGAACTTCCTGTGGCTCCCATGTGGGCTAGGACTCCTTGAGTCTTCAGAACACTTACCACACACATACCCACCCTCTTCTAATGAAAGCAACAGGTTCTGCCCTGCAGGATCCACAATGGTCCCCATGTCCATACGGAATGGGACCAACCTTCCCTTATGTTTGAAGACCAGTTGAGAGTGTACAGGCCAGATCCAGACTGCTTGGGTTCACATCTCAGTTCTGCCATTTCTCATCTCTGTGAACTTGGGGCGAAGGATTCGACGCCTCTGAGTCTCGGTGGACTATGTTCGCAATGTTTGCTTCCTGGGTTACGGCAAGGATTCGATGACACAACTCATGGAGCCGTGCTCGGTAGCTGGTTAGTGGCCACCTTTCATTAGCTATTATGATGAGTGTTTTATGATTAGACAAGGGACTGGTGCCAGGGCAACCATCAATAGGCTGGAGATGAAAAGGCCCAAGCAAATGTTCTCTTTGAGGAAGTGAAAATGCAAAAATATACGAAGCAAACACCTTCAAGTGTAGGATGGACACATACAGACAGACCCCATGCCGAGAAACTGGGAACCCAGGGGTGTGCTTATAACTCCCGAGGTGATGTCCAGTGTCAGCCCTCAGTCCCAGTAATCTCCGCAAGAGACCGCTATCATAAAGGTCATCTGTAGGAATCCCCCCCAATAACCTCTCCCCGTCTATTCAATACACGCCAAAAAAGAACAGAAAACTAGGTGCAATTCTACCAACCTTGGCATCTTGTCTCATGAGACCATCATCCAAATGACTTCCTTCATCTCTTCCACCCTGAGGTCGAGAAAAACAAAACCCAAGAGAATGAGAGAGTGTCCAGGAAGCTTGGGAGAGCTCACCCCTATCAGCTGTTGTGCAGGAGAAAGATGAACGCATAAAGATTTGCAACCTCAGGCACCCTCCACAGGGTTGCTACCAGTCAGAATCAACTCCTTGGCAGCAGGGTTAGGGTTTGGGGTTTAGTTGAGATGAAAGTCTGGGAGCCCCAGCCATTGTCATGGTAATTGGACAGAATGCCTCAGAAGGGGAGACGGGACAGATGTGCTCTGAATGTGCCTGCTCTACTTCCATGCCTCGGACCAGCACCCAGGGGACAGCACCCACCGGGAGGCCAGGGGCACGCTCCCTAAGTACTGAATGGCTGTTTGAATGCAGCAGGAGAACTGACTGCTCCCTTCCTCTGCCACCGGACTCCAAGGCTTCCTTGTCAAGCCATGCCGCCCTCTAGGTCAGCTATTTCTCAACCTGTGGGTCGTGACCCCTTTTCAGGGATGGGGCGGGGGCGAATGATCCTTTCACAGGGGTCGCCTAAGACCATCGGGAAACATATATTTCCAAAAGGCTTAAGAACCAAGATACCGCTCTTCTATCTGTCTCCAGGAGGGTTTGCCCACATGCAGATACGCCCACATACAAGTACCAGGAGTGATGACATCATCGCACCAACCCCATCACATACACTCCGTACAAACACAGGTGTGTGTGACAGGGTTGGCGCCATAATGTACTTATGGGGACCAGTCACAGGTGTGTACAGAGCAGCTGCTGTGTGGCAAGCAGCAATACTGGAGGTAAAACGACACTTCCTGAATTATAATTACATCTTGCTTTTGTGATTCATCACTGTGCTTGAATTATGTTCAATTTGTAACAATGAAAATGCATAATGCCTGTCAGATATTTACATGACGATTCATCACAGTAGCAAAATGACAGTGATGAAGTAGCAGTGAAAATAATGTTCTGGTTGGGGGTCCCCACCACATGAGGACCTGTATGAAAGGGTCGCGGCATGAGGAAGGTGGAGAACCGCTGCTCTAGGGCAGACTGACATGGGCCAACTTGGGCCAGGAACACACTGCACACAGAGGAAACCCGTGGCCTTCGGATGATGATGACCACCCCACAGGTTTCCCAAAGCTGTCCACCTTTACAGGAGCTGCCTGCCACCTCTTTCTCCTGCAGGGCAGTTCGGACCACCAGCTGTTTGGTTAGCAGCCTAGCACCTAACCACAGCGCCACCGGGCTCCTTTGAGAGCCGAAGAGGGTCATGAGACTCTGGGGTCAGCAGTGGGACTGGACGAGCACATGGAAATACACTCCCTTCTCCCCCCACCCCCCCCACCCCCAATCCAGGAGAACGGGACTGGAGCCTCGAGGAAGGTGAACGAGGGACAAGTAGGGCTGGCTTCCTCCCAGCTGCCAGACTTGACTGCTAGGCTCCTATGGTGCCTGTGGTCTCAGCAAGGTGAGCAGGAGGGGGACGTACACGTGGGTCAGAAGACGGCGGGCAGGGATGCCTGAGCAGACAGCACGACAGAAAGGCAAGGGAGGGGTTGCAGCGGACCGCTGGGTGCTACGCTGGGCCTTGGGGGAAATGGCAGCGATAGCAACAGCTATTGGAAGACGACGCCCCCTCCCTCCCCCGGAGACGGGCTGTACCGATGGCCTAGGAGATGGGAGAGCCTTCCATCTCGGAGGGAGGCCAGGGACTCTGATGGCAAGGGCACAGGAAGTCACACGCCGCCAGTGTCCACCTCCCTTGCCGGCACCTGGGCTCCCACCTTGCTAACCCCCCTCTGGCCCCCGAGCCTCCAGTGTCTGCCGCTCCCACCCGCCCTGCACATTGTCACTTCGACCGCTGCCCACCACTGCGCCCAGGCCTTCCGGGGCTGCCTGGGGTGGGGTGCTGCCCAGTGGGTCCTGACTCACACTGTCCTCTCGTGACAAGCAAAGAACTGCCCCACAGGGTTTCCCAGGCTGATGGGTGCTCACCGCTGACCTTGTGGTCAGCAGCCGAGCGCTTCATGATTGTGCCACCCGGGCTGGCCCACCCAGGTTCCCTACTGCTCTGGGATGAAGGTGCAAACATCTTAATCCCACTTCATTTGCCCAGCTCACTCCTCCTAAGGATGGTTCCCTGCCTCCTTGCTGTTCCTCCTGCCTGGACACCACCACCCACATCTCCTGAAACTGTAGCCACGACCTTGCCCCCCAAGCACTTCCTGTCCCTTCAGTCACAGTCCCTCCTGCAGCCCTCCCCAGCACTTCCTGCTTTCACACAGGAAGCTTTATTGCAGCAATGTGTAATAGTTTATGACAGCCACGGTGCCCCCGCTAAGTTCCCTTATGACAAGATCAACGCTTAAGGCACAGGGCCCACCTCTTCATCCCTCTCAGCGCACCCCTTGAGAAGGATCCCCATTACATACTGCCCAAATCCAACCAACCCCACTGCCACTTGTGGGGAACAGAAAGAGTTCTCCCAAGTCGTCTCCCCCAAATATATGCCAAACTTCGCTGCTTGCTACACATGGCAAATGACCATACACTTGGAGGTCAACAGAAGTAGGTCAGGGGTTATTCTCTCTAAGGGTTATCAGCCATCTAGAGCAAGCAGACACCACTTTATCCCACAACAAGTAGGGCCCATTCCCTTCTAATAAGGATAGTAGTAAATTGTTTCCCTGAAGGAGTGCCCAGGGAGGTCAAACCCACCCAAGGGTGACCAAGGTTAGGCCGCCATCATGAATCTAGAGTCCGCCCATCTTGTCACATGTATACCCCTAGTCCCTCCCCTTCCTATCATGTGTACACCCCTAGCACATCCCTTTCCTGTCACGCTTATGCCTATTGTACATCCCCTTCCTATGATGTGTATGCCTATTGTACCGCCCCTTCCTGTGACGTGTGGCTACCTGTAACCACGCCCCCCTACGTAGTTATAAGCCTTGGTTAGCAATAAAGTTGCCCCACCCCCACCCCTGCTCTCGCTCTCTGGCTCTCTCCACTTGGACCACCAAGTGAGGTTGAGGTGAGCATGCTACTATGAAATGTGTCTGCCTCCATTATTTCAATCTTCCTTCTATCAATATCCCTTCTATTATTTCAATCTCCTCTCATGCTCTCCATGACTTGACTACAATCTTTACTTATTACCGCCGTACAATTGCGCCTACCGGACCCGTGATGATTAGTGGGGGGCTCCCCCCCCCACGGCCACTGAGTCTGTTCAGACTCACGGTGGCTCCACGTGGGGTGGCCGAGGCCGGGGGAACCTTTATAGGGCCATAACACCAACGCTTTCTCCCTATGATGGATGAGGTACGGCAAGAACACTCCCGCGACTTTGCCTTACATCCTTTGGACAGGTCAGGAGAGACCCAATTCCTGGAAGGACATCGTGCTTGGCCAAGTAGAGAGTCAGGGAAGCAGAGGAAGGCCCGCCCCGAGGTGGAGGGACACCGTGGCTGCCACAATGAGCAACTGTGAGGATGGCACAGGAGCGGGCAGTGTGCCCTTCTGTGTGCACAGGGTCCCTGAGGGTCAGAACCCACTGGATGGCGTCTAACCTCAGCCTTCCCTAACCGCAGTGAGGACAAACAAGCACCCGGGACTGGCCATTGTCTCCGAGGGAGGGAGGGAGTGATCTGGGGATGAGACAGGCTAGTGGCGGGGATGGGGAGCGGGCACCGCAGTCAGGGACCCCTTCCTCCCCCTCAGAAGCGGTCAACAGAGGACTCCACTCACAGTCAGCAGGGACACAAGCACCCGCTGGAACATGAACGACGTGTCAGAGCGAATGTCATCCTCCAGGCTCCGTCCATAGTCTGGCGAGAGAGTAGTTAGTGGCATCAAATAGAGGCCTGTCCCAGGCCAGTGACACCCTCCCCAGCACACTGACCTCTCCAGAAGCAGCCTCGATGTGGGATTTGCAACTGAACACACAGCCATTTACCCACCGCAGCCCTCAAGGCACCTCTGATTTAGGGCACCCCGTGTGTCTCAACGCTGCAGGGTTTTCCTTGGGTGGACTGGAACCGCCCACCTCACAGGTAACAGCCAAGGGCCTTACCTCTTCACCCCACTCAGGGAGTCACACAGGGGGGGTTTTATTGTTTGGTTTTTAAAAACTAAACTCTGGGAAATGGTCAAATTAAGTTTATCTGACGATTTTCGAGGAAATGAGGTCCTCGTTCGTATCAGAATGTCCTTTGAGTTTTTTCTACATAGACATACATTCTTCTTAAAGAAACAGGATCGCACATACTATTTGATGATTTCGTTTCTTTTTTTCCAAATAAATCATTTCATTGGGGGCTCGTACAGCTCTTACAACAACCATACATCAATTGTATCACGAGTATCTGTACATAGGTTGCCATCATCATTTTCAAAACATTTTCTTTCTACTTGAGCCCTTGGGATCAGCTCTTCTTTCCCCCCTCCCTCCCCACCCTCGTAAACCCTTGATAAATGATTATTATTCTCATATCTTACACCATCTGTTGTCTCCCTTCACCCATGTTTCTGTTCGTCGCCCTGGGGGTGTTATACGTTGATCATTGCGATCGGTTCCCCTTTGATGATGTGCTTTTTGACGTATCCAAATACGTATTCAGTAGCCAATCCACTACTCGTGGACATTTTCCACTTAATGTAAGCAATTAATTGAATAAACACTGGGATTAAACCTTGAATAAACACTGGGATCAACACGCTATGGCAAGAAGACACGCATAGTCCAAATGCTTTCCAGACGTGTGCTGTGGAGATTCATACGAGGTAAGTGAATGGCCTGAGGTGGTTGGGGGACACACAGGCTAATCTGGAGGAACGAGTGAGGCCAGGCGACCCCTCCAGGCCAGTCTATGGGAGCCAAGATTTGCTGGTGTCTGTACTCAAGCCCTTCATAGTCTTGATGCAGAACAGCGGTCCAGAATTCAGGGTACTGAAAATAAACACGCCCTGGGTCCCCTCAGTCCTTACCTGAGAAGTCTCAGGCAGCCAATACTGACTTGCTTAGAGAGGCATCTGCCTTGTACCAGAGCCTGGAATGGAGGCCCTCTCAAAGTCAAAGGTTCTCTGAGAAGAGTTATAATTGGTGTCGGACACACACACACACCCCTCCACCCTGCTAGTTCTGTCCTCAAACCTGGTGACGCCTTAGCCAGGGCCACCGCCCATGTTACATACGTCGCTGGTAGGTCTCCTTGATGCGGCGGATCTCGTCGGTGGACCTGGAGGCCAGGATCTCAATCAGGCAGCCCTCGTCCGTGCCAGCTCCCTACACACGAAACACAGAGCCTGTTCACAGTGCTGGGCCCCCCCCACGCAGAGGGACAAGGAATCCGCAGAGGAGAAGGTAACCCTCTGCATTCTAGCAATTTTATCAAAATCGTTAACGGGAATAACAAACACTTCCTGACTGTTTACTAGGTGGGGATTACTGTGCCAGGTTAGGTATAAGGTCTACTCTCTGGGGGTTTAACCCCCTTGCCTACACACACACACACACACACACACACACACACACACACACACCTGCTGGCAAAGACATTAGGGCTTTGCTTTCTCAGAGTCCAGCCTAGAACCGTCCCTGAGGGTGAGTGTTTATCAACATGGCTGAGGAAGGGAGCTATGTTTGATTTCCTGGCTGGTCATTAAAAACCAGCAGGCCTTGGGCGAGTGCACCGTGGGTTGGTCACCTGTGGAGCCTGAGAATCCTTTCGAGCCAGTTCTAAACCTACAGGGGACCTGAAGGCCCCCAGGGTGTTAGTCAAAATTAGCTAATATAAACTTTCTGGAACCGCTCTAATCCTTCCTTCCTGAAACACAGGCAGAGCAAGTGATCCCAGAGCTTAATGACTACATTACAATGGCTGCGATGTAACACCAGGAGCCCTGGAGGCCAGCAGGTCAAGCATTGGGCCACTAACCTCAAGGTTGGTGGTTCAAGCACACTGGCCACTCTGCGGGGAAAAGATGAGGCTGTCTGTTCCCAGTAAAGCCTGACAGCCTCCAAAACCCACAGGGACAGTCCTACCCAGTCCTCTAGGGCTGCCAGGACTCAGAATCAGCTCAGTGGCAGGGAGCTTGGTTTACCGGTATAAGGGAAGGAGGCTGGTGGTGCATCAGGTTAAGCACCTGGCTGCTACCCCCCAAGCTTGGTGAGTCAAGCACACCAGCTGCTCTATGGAACAAAGACGAAGCTTTCTGTTCCCAGGAGGATTTGCAGCCTCGGAAACTTACAGGACAGTTCACTCTGTCCTCTAGGATCACTGTGAGCCAGAATGAACTTGATGGCAATGGGTGTTTTTTGGAGAGTGTGATGTAGTATTTTTAAGTTGTCATAAACACGGGGACTCTTTCCTCTCTGAGAGGCTGGCCGTCAGGGTGTGTCGGGGAGCAGGCTGAGAGCCGCACGCACCCACCTTCATGGCCCTGTTCAGCTCCTGCACATCGTACAGCACGGTGGGCATCATCATCCCCACGATCACTTTCTCGAAGTTGCCACTCAGCTCCGACTTCAGGTCGTCTACCAGGTCCTGCAACACAAGGAGGCCCGGGCTCCAGTGCGCCCACAACACCGAGACCCATTCTGACTCGCGGTGACCACGGAGACCTGCCCCCCAGGGGTTGGGATCCCGGCAGAAGCAGGCTGTTAGGGGCAAGAGCGTACATTAGCCAAGCTCCAAGTGTGGGCCGCAGACTCCTGATGCCTCAGGGATCCATAAGGTCAGAACTGTTTTCCGAACAAATACATATAATACGTAATAACACCAAACATCCTTCCACGGTGCACCGTCATTCTCTCACGAGTGGTCAGGGCAGTTTCCAAAAACGACCTGACATCTGAAAAGGGTTGAAAACCCTCTCCTTTCCCCAACACCTGTTCTACACGAGGCCAGGTTTCTTCATGCACTACGGCTGAAACAGCATATTCCAACAACTACGGAAATGCAGACACAGTATCACCACACGGCTGGCTGCCTTCTACGAAGCGAGACGTGTGCAAGGTCGTCTATTAAGGAGGTTTATAAAATGTGGAGAACAAGGCCAATCTTCTTGCCTAATTTTTAAAGGTTGCTTTGGAGTCGATCGTTCTTTCATAGCTCTGTTTTATTTCTATTCACAGGTAATGGGCTTGCCTTTTTTTTTTAAGTAGCAATGAAAAGAATTTTTATGGTTGAGGGGTCACCACCACATGAGAACCTGTATGAAAAGGCTGCGGCATCAGGAAGGTTGAGAACCACTGGACTAGAGGGTCGTAGGTGTTGACGGGTGCAAGGGAGGATGGAGCACCACCCGAGGGAGAAACCAGAGGAGGAGAGTTGTAGACTCCCGGAGGGGACGTTGATGAGTGATCTGAACTACTGAAGGCAGGCCGGATGCCTCCAAGAGTTGGTGTTTCCAACAGTCTTTGAAGCAAGATTGAAGTCAAGGAACACACGTCCACGGGACCCGGGCTTGCCATTTTTAATAATAAATTAAAAAATATATTTTTGAATGTTCTCCATTTTTATCTCGCCTGTAGCTAAATAGCAATAGAACCCACAAACACAGTGCTCTTCGGGGCCCTCGTTCGCCTAAGGGTGCAAAGGGGTCATGAGCACGAAAGCTTGTCGAAGGTGACTTCACGGCAGTTGTTTCACGTAATGAGCTGTCCTGCATAGATTTACCTAAGACATTGCTAGTCGCTGTAGGGAATTTCTAGAGATGGATGTGACAGAACTTCTTTAGCCAGTACCTGTTAGGGACTGCGGAGCCCTGAGTGTCGGTCGGCTGTTAGGACCACCAGCTGCTCTGAGAGAGAAGGATGGGGCTTGCTACTCCGCAAAGAGTTACCATCTCGGAACCCCCCGGGGCAGTTCTGCCCTGGCCTCCGGGGTTGCCGTGACTCAATGGCAGTGAGGCTGGCTGGTTTAGGTTTGGTTACGATTGGACTTGCACCCCACCGGAACGTGCACTGGAACCCTCTGTCTGTGGTTGTCATCCACTTGGAAACAAGGTTCTCTTTTTCACGTTGTTGTTAGGAATGTCCACTGAGTCCACGCTGATTTGCCACCACAGCCTGCATGCAGAGCCGAACTGCTGGGTAGGGTTGTCCGGGCTGTCACCTTTCAAACACACAGCCCAGGACTGTCTCCTGAGGGGCTCTGAGTAGGACTGTCCCACCAACCTTTTGGCTGCATGGAACGGTGTGTGGCACCCAAGGGCCTTGGTGATGTAAGGGAGGTCCTATTCGTATAAGGTGGGTCCTAAACCTCAGCACTTTGAGTTATAGAAAGAGCTGATTCAACACAGGGATAAAGGCACGTGAGATCACCAAGGGACTGGGGCACACCTGAGGAGGAAAGGGCAGGGCCAGAACCCTGATTTGCACCTTTGGCTTCCTAAACTTCATGCAAATAAATTCCCACTTTTTAAAGCCAGTCATGTGTGGTATTTGTGTTACAGCAGCACGGGCTCGGAGGGTACCTTCTGTCTACTTTTCTGTTGGTCTAGATACAAGTGTAAGGCATTTAGCTGTGATCTTAGACCTGTGGCTGTACTCCATCTGGACACAGGGTTTTCAGATCTCATTTTTTTTGAGGCTCAGTTCTTAAAAAAGAAATGTAACTATTTCCCCCAAGAGCTAGCTACCTTCTAAAGAGATGCATTCAGGTTTCCTTCTAGAACCACACAACTGGACCACCGTCAGAAGACCAACCATTCTTTTAAATAGGCCACTTTTTATCTGGATGAGCCCATATTCCATCACATATATTTTTAAATGTCATTGCTGCCTCTACTGGGACATTTGTATCATGAGCTTCCTGTCCCACAAGCTGGCCCAGCATCCTGCAAACCCCAGGCTGAAGATCACGCCGGGCTGACCGCAGAGAAGAGACGGTGGCCTACCCTGCCGATGGTGGACTTGTAGGCCGATCTGATTTCCTGGCGCTGGGCAATGTTCCGGTAGGCCAGGACATTGATAATGGCATCTTCATCAGTGCCTGGGGGAGCAGAGCAGAGTCAGTGAGCACGACCGAGATAGGCATGAGGGCGCGGGTTCCTCAACAGCCACTGGGGTAACCCAAACACAAGCTCTTCCCTGGAGAGTTCAAATGCCACGTGGCCCACTTTCTGAACTACAGGCTGCTTGCTATGAAATCTCAACAAACGATGGTGAACCTGCGAACACGGAGGCACGGCATATTTTGCATGTTATTTCTGAGAAGGCAAATGAGAGGGGCACCTGGATGGGAACAACGTTCTGCTCAGACGTGGGCATCGATAGCAGGGTGCAGGGAGGCCTTAGCTCCAGCTCTGGAATCAGACTGCTGGAATGGGGTCCTCACTCTAGGACTGACTAGTTGAGACCATGGGCCCACCTCCCCAAACCCAGCTTTCTCGTCAGCAAAAAACAGCTCACTGCTTCCGGTCGATGCCGACTGACAGTGACCCTATAGGACATGGGAGCACTGGCCCTGTGAGTCTCTGAGACGGTCACTCTCGACGGGAGTAGAGAGCCTCGACTTCCTCCCACAGGGCCGACGGGGGTTTCGAATGGCTGGCCTTGCAGTTAGCAGCCCAACGAGTAACCACGACCCCATCAGGGACCAAGTACACGAAAAAGAAAACTCTGCCGCCAAATGAACGCCTGCCCTCCCACCCAATCCATATTGCGCGGCTGTATTTTCTCTGCAATGAGACCAACTCACAGGGAACAGTGGAGGGGGGGTATGTCTGCAATCGGCGAGTCTCTGGACATCCTCCCTCCTCTGGGCCCCTCCCACTGCAAGTGACCAACCCGGGGTGTGTGTGGGGGTCTTTGCTGGACAACACCCGCACGAGGGAGGATTCTCCTCTGGCGGGACACTCACCGAGACCTTTCATGGCCTTCCTGAGGGCCTGGGCATCGTCCCGGGCGCTGAAGCCTGACGCAGCCTTGACAGTGCCTCCTTTGGTTCCCTGCACACACGGAGAGTGACATGACTGAGAGTGACGCGACCTCACCCACGTGAGGCACCACGTGCCGTGCAGCTGGGCACAGACAGCCTTCTAGGGAGCGTGGCAGTGAACA